CTCACCTTATTTTATATTTGTAAAGATGACAATAGCAGCTTTGTTGGGTCTCTGAATTGATCATACTTTTTTTAATGGAATGGAGTCAATTTTCTTTTTACGAACATAATATGCTTTTTCACCTTTTTGTTTAAACTTGAAGAGTTTTTATGAATTGAATGTTTCATTGGCGTTAGACTTTCACCTATTGTATTGTCAAGTTGACAAAAGAGGCTTTATTGAGGCTCAGATTGGATTCTACTTTTTATGGAATGCATCCAATTCCTTTTTGCTATGACATTTTACGTTTAGAACAGGTGTGTCATAAATGTTAGACCATCACCTTGCATTGTTTTCGGGAGGCTCCGAATGGATAATACATATATCGTTCTTATTGCACTGAATTATTTAAAATGACATTTTTCTTTTTGTTTAAGTAATGAATGAGTGACATTTAACGCCACTTTGAACAGTATTCAAGTTATATCACGGCGTGTCAGCTTTATGTTGGAGGAAAGCCTGAAGTGTTGCAGGTCTCAGACGTTTTCCACTTTGCACGGTTATGGTGCTGACAAACCCAGAAACATATTCGGGGCAAACTGGGATTCGAACCCACGATCATAGATTTCTGGCGTGCCCAAGGGACGTAACTCTGCACAGCGAATTGCGGCGCCTTAGACGACTGTGCCAGCCGCGCCCCCTTTTGTTTTAAACTTCAAGGGTCATTATGTAAGTTTCGGTTATGTAAGACTTCCCCTTTCAGTGACAAACAAAATGTTCGATGCAATTCCCTATTTGACTTGTACCGTATGGTCCCGTGTTTTTTTTCAGGTGAAACAATTGACTTGCCTTTGCATGTTTTTGTGACGCTAATATTGTTGCGAACACCTGGTTCCTCAGCATTTGATAGTGATTCATAAACACATGCTCATGATATACCGAATCGTATAATCGACTCTGCTTTTGGAAGATATTTCTTATGAATATTGATAAGGTTTTGTCACTTTTATTGCCAAGTTAACAAAACAGGTTTTATTGAGGCTCCTAAATTATCTTATTTTTTTTTAGAAAGCATTGGGACATTTTGATCACATGAATTATTATTTGTTTAATTTGCTTAAACTTCAAGAGTAGTTATGAAATGTCTGTTTGTTGCTTTGTGAAGTGGTTGTTTTATGTGTAAAGTGCTACAAAGCTATACACATTAGTTACATTAACCATCCTTTAATGATATCATTAATGTCTCTATTAAGTCAATAGTAATGTCATATTTGAGATGTCAATGTATTTATACACCACTGTATCGACACAGCACACGAAGTTCATCCTGATAGACTCAAATATCTATGGATTTTCGGATACAAATAAAAAAAAAGAAAAAAAGGAATAAGCTAGTCCATGCTAAGCTATTGGTGTTATTTTTGGGGAAAGAAACCTCAACATGATCTTGATAAGATAAGATAAATCGTTGTACATTTCCGACATAAGAAACGGACGCCCACGTATATTTCCAAAAGGTGTTTAAAAGGTGGTTGTCCCAACATTGACCAGAATGTCGCACCTATGGGACAAACATACCCTCCCCATGCTGGAGAATGCGGAAGAACACCAAGCGTCGAGCACGAGAGAGGAGCCGGCTTATTCACGGGTGCCAAAATTGACCAAGATTTGGGCCGTCTTACTTGACAAATTTACACCAGGTTCTTCAGCGTTAAAATAGATAGTGATTTCCGTTGCCCGCGATTCAAAAGGCATCAAGGAGACAAAAAAGCGGAGCTTTGGGAGTAAGAAGGAATCCTCCTTCAAGTTTGAATAAATCCGCTAGACGGGCAGAACGCCATGCCTAGCGGTCTTGCACAAATAGAAGAAAAACAACACAATGTTTGGTTCAATCGCGACAGGTATTCGCGCTTTACCTGTAGCAAGTAGCTGTCACTGTGGATGGGATTTGTGGTAATGTTGAAGATATCGAGTTGCATTTTATAAGATTACTTAAAACGTCTATGTAGTGCATGTGTCTTGACAGATTCCTTTCTAGTGTTGGTTCACGTCTTGTTCGTTGCATGTTTATACGCATCTTTTATGCATTGTCGCTTTAGGATAACGAGTTAAAGGACCATACAAACTGATGGATAAATTTGAGAATAATTCGAAAAACAATTTTGGCAAGATCATAGTTGGTTTTGTGCATTGTATGAAATGCAATGAAAGATTTGGATTGATATATTATCAAGAGGACGTGCACACAGGAAACGTGTTACACAGGATAGATTTTGGACAAAACATTGTCTCTATATTCTACATGTTTGGTATTGGGACATCCTTCAATATCAATGTCGTAACATAATGACAATGAAGTTATCAGTTTGGTCAAAGAAAATGTAATGAACTAAGATAACAATGATACGACAGAGCGTCCAAATGGCAAGAATACACTAATCTGATTTAGTATGGTAGAAACTATTACTGTGGGCATTGTGTCTTTGTAATTTATTTATAATATGATTGTAAACAAAAATGCTGATGCTGTGTACTCATTCAAAAGACGTGAAATAATGACTCTAACTGAAGGTGAAGGCAGCTTAGATGTAAATCTAAAACGTCAATGCCAGAGAGTAACCAGTCTTGTTTATCCAACGAAACTGATTCCATTTGGCGTAAAAGACAAAAAGGTGAAAGTTAAATGAATTGATCCCTGAAAATCAGCGAGTGAGTGAGTGAGTTGGGTTTAACGCCGCTTTTAACAGTATTACAGTTATATCGCGGCGTGTCTGCTTAATGTGGGAGGAAAGCCCGAAGTGATGCAGGTCTCAGACGTTTACCACTTCGGTGAAACCCACGAGCACGGGTATGGTGCTGACAAACCTAGAAACATAATCTGGGCGAACCGGGATTGGAACCCACAATCTTTAGGTTTCTGGCGTGTCCAAGGGACACAACTCTGCACAGTGAATCGCGGCGCCTTAGACGACTGGGCCACCCGTGCCCCCCTGAAAATCAGTGATGACACCAGGTGTTCGTGAAAAGGGTAATGAGTAACAAACACTCACAATTCTCTGTAAAGTAAAAAGTGATGCCATTCATATCAACAGCAGAAGGAAGAAAGGGAATAGAGGCAAAACAACATGGAAGCGACAGATTCAAGGAAAGGACAACGCTCACAACTCGTTGTTAAGTTAACATGACGCTATTCATTGTTACAATACCATTGCAACCAAGAACAAAATGTTCTCGTCTCTAGTCACGTATGTGTAAACGAATGTTTTGTCCAAGATGAGGATGTATTTTTTAGGGAAGAATATTTTGTAACTATCATCCCCATACCATACTTTTACACTCCTAGCAATCATGTCTTTATAAACATGAAACTAAATTCCACATGTTTAGCGTTTTATGAAGAAGCGTCAAGGACATCTAATATTAACACATACAAAATAAACAACCAAAAAGGGAAAAAAAAGAAGAAAAGTAACTAACACTTTTACAATACTGACATAACATTAACATCGAACGTTTCACTTGAAAATCGAATCATATAAAATGATTCTCACAAATGGCTAGCATCAGGACATTTCTTTAACATGCCCCCAATGATTAATTCTAAAGAAATCTGTCTGGCTGTTGAACACGCCTCTATCAATCAGCCATGACTCTCCTTGTTAAACACCGCCCACGTTGAGAATCAGCATAGATAATTCCAAATTTGACTTTGATGATGGAAGTATTTAGTTCGTCGTCTGATGTCGCCAATTCTGGTTGACAATACAATTCCTTTAATTTCATTCTATAATAAATGATAGGAGACCCAAGCATGGCGATTGTTTCTCTATTGTCTTGTATTTGAATGAAGAGCTCCCCCTGTTTGCTAACACTGCCAGAAACCAGGTAGGGTATTTGACACTTGTTTGCACACACATTTGATCGATCTGGCTCCACATAACAATGCCCGATTCAGTTCAACACAGACTGGACTAAAGCTTTGGGTCTTTGAAATGTGGGAATGTTTTTTCGCATTCAGCTGGACGTTAGGTAACTTGCCGGTAGGATTTGCAGGACATCGAGACTTCGTTGCCATGTATTTGAAGTCACTGATGGATTTGGGAAAAAAGTTGATTTTTCGAAAGAAGCTAATAGAATAAGCTTCGTCGGAAATAGCTGTGATGTTTTGTTGAGCTTTTGTATCTTCCTTCAATAAAAGTGTCCAAAGTTAACACTTCTAAATGTAGAGTTTGTCTGGAAATCCAGGAATTATTATACATTTGTACATGAATGTAACAGGAGGGTTGGACTCCAGGCTCTGTCCTTAAGAGGTGCCTGTTTCATTCAAAGTAAGAACCGGTACACCTTACCCTAGACAATAATCCCATCCAGAAAACTAGATCGTGGATGTGACATTTATGTCCGCACCAGCATATGTGCATATGCTTAAACAGAGAACAAACTGTCTCCTTACGATACATTTTATATTTCATGTTGATGAAATGTTCAAATTTAAACCATGAAGATTAATAATTCATCACCGTATACCCCGTGAAGATTCTGGGGTAGAATTGGTCTTCAGCAACCCATACTTGCCGTAAAAGGCGACTATTCTTGTCGTAAAAGGCGACTAACGGGATCGGGTGGTCAGGCTCGCTGACTTGGTTGATACATGTCATCGATCCCAATAGCGTGGATCGATGCTCATGATGTCAATCACTGGATTGTCTGGTCCAGACTCGATTATTTTACAGACCGCCGTCATATAGCTGTTATATTGCTGAGTGCGGCGTTAAACAACGAACAAACAAATAAACAAACAAACAAACAAACAAACAAACATCACCGTAGATGTGAAGGTTTCCGTTGAGATCATCCATAAACTTAAACCTGTAATGTTTGTCTGATCTCAGAGTAACCACACAACACAATTCTAAGATAACAGGAATAAAACTGAATGGGGCACCTGTTTAACATGTCATGAAATGAAGGTTAAACAAATACACAGTTACGTTGTATAAAACAAGTAACCAAATCCGTACCTTGCATGACTTGCCAGGGTGAAGCTGAGTACAGTGTTATCATCGTAATCCACTGCCTGAAATAGATAACAGAACTAGTGATAAATACGTACAGACTTACACATCAGTCTCAATAGCAGAATTACTTAGTACTTTTTGTTTTAAAGTTCTCTAAATGAAAATGGTGAGGTGAGGTGAAATGGGGTTTAACGTCGCGTTCAAGATTATTGCACTTATATAGCAACGTACATGCACGTGTGTGTGAGTGTGGCTGCTTATACTAGTCCGGACTGATGCCGATTTATAGTGCTAGCTCACTGAGATACCATGCCGTAGTTTAACATGAATACCCCACTCAGACACAGTATACTGACTCCGAGCCGACCAGTCCTTGTTTTAGCCCCTTAATGTCAAGCACCAGACAGGGTAACAACAAGTACCATCTTTTAACGTCTTTGGTATGACGCGGCCGGGGATCGAACCCCGGACGCTCTACCACTAGACCACAATAACAATGCCAGATACACATAACATATGGTGGTCGTGATACTCTCGATGCGACGCTTACACTGTTTTCAATCAACATACCTCTAATGAAGAGAATTTATGGATGTCAGTATCTTTATTATGAGGAACAGAACGTTTCGGAGTATATGCTTACTCCTTCATCAGGTGAATTAGGTATAATCATTCACCTGATGAAAGATTTAGCATAATAAAGAAGTTGGCATCCATAAATTCTCTTCCTCGTGTGTATCACTAAATGCCTTCAAAGACTTACCTCTACTTTCGTTATTAATTCATCTTGGACTCTTTCCCTGTCTACTGTGATCTCCTTCTGTGTGAAGACAGGGTTGTTGTCGTTAACGTCCGACACATACACCGTCACAGTGGCTGTTGTGTTCTGTAACAACAGGGTCGCATACATTTCTGGGCAGTCAACATCTACACTCACACAAGCTAAACTATAGTTGCATGAACATTACGACAGACAAATAAAAAAGTGGGTGGGAGTGAACGCCGCTGGTAGCCATATTACTAAGGGGAGTCACAAGAAAAGAGGCCTCATGCATTGTACCACGGGGGAGTCACAATAAATTGGCTTCATATTGTATCACAGGGGAGTCACAATAAACAGGTTTCATGTATTGAACCACGTGGGGTCACAATAAATAGGTTTCATGCATTGTACTAGAAGGGAGTCATAAGGAATTGGCTTCATGCATTGTACCCGAAGAGAGTCATAAGGAATAGGTTTCATGTATTGTACTAAAAGGGAGTCACAAAAAATTGGCTCGATGCATTGAACAAAGAGGGAGTCATAAGGAATATATTTCATGTATTGTACCACATGGGGTCACAAGAAATTGGCTTCATGCATTGTACCCGAAGAGAGTCATAAGGAATAGGTTTCATGTATTGTACCACATGGGGTCACAAGAAATTGGCTTCATGCATTGTACCAGAAGAGAGTCATAAGGAATAGGTTTCATGTATTGTACCACATGGGGTCACAAGAAATTGGCTTCATGCATTGTACCCGAAGAGAGTCATAAGGAATAGGTTTCATGCATTGTACTAAAAGGGAGTCACAAGAAATTGGCTCGATGCATTGAACAAAGAGGGAGTCATAAGGAATATATTTCATGTATTGTATTACAGGGGAGTCATAAGAAATTGGCTTCATGCATTGTACGAGAAGAGAGTCATAAGGAATAGGCTTCATGCATTGTACCAGAGGGGAGTCAAAGGGAGGGACAGGGTTTCATGCATTAGACCACAGGGAAGTCATAATAAATTGGTTTCATGAATTGTTCCACAGGCTAGTCGAGAGAGCTGGGATTCATTCATTGCACCACATTGGAACAATTACAACAACTAAAATACCACGATATATTGGTTGCCTCACATGTATGGTCAATTCGAAATAATATTAAAATCTTTCATTGATGTAGTTTTGAAACTGACTCAAGTAATAAAGAGTTAATCTCATCTTTGGAGTACACATCATGTGAAGCCGTAATAGCAACAATTAACAACAACAACAACAACAACAACAACAACAACACTAAACTGCCGGGCAAAAGAAAGCATACACCCATGTTAGATGGTTGATAAAATTGAGACAAACTAGAAATGGTTAATCGATAGCGATGTATTTGATACGGGTATTATAGTTGTATTTTTGATACCGTTTTGATAAAATTTGTAAGTTTTTGGTCAAATCCAATATTCAAGTGTTTATTTTCTTTGGTCCGACAGTATGTTTCCATGACATGATTAATTAAAATTAAGGGACATGCAACAAGGTTGTTTGGAAATGTAGCAGTGCACCAATCGGAGCTGCGCAATGACAGCAGCTAACACGGCTGAGCGAAATGTGGCAGAGTTGCACGTGGCTGGTGTATAGGTATCTACACAACACGGGCTACTTACAAACTGTCCATCAGTGGCAACTACGGGGATAGAATATTCAGTCTCTCGTTCGTAGTCCAACGCTTGTCTCAGTTTGATGACGCCACTGCAACAACAAACATCAATGATGCAAGAAAGATGTCTCTCCATATATCACCCAATGACACTGATCCCTTGTTAATCAATATGTTTTGTTGATTGTTCTCGACAGAGCATTCTTGAGTGCGACTCTGTCCTGGGGTGTAGAATGATGGTGACAAGCCTGATCGAGTAACACAGTGTAACGTTGAGCTATTAAAGATTTAAAAGTTAAGCTTGTCCTGGTAGACTTAAAATAAACCATCACTGGGGACAGTAATTTAAGTAGGATCTGTGCTTGATAACATTGTTAGATAAGTAGGATCACCCAGTCCATAGTGATGGTCCCGGCAGAGCTGCAAGCATTGGCACGTTCGGATGTACACATATACAGGCAGCTGGGACAAGATAATGGATGAACAACCTCTTCATTACAATTAGGAGCGACGTTCCGGTGTAGGTTCAACGATCCTTATCATGCAAGTGCTTGATAACGTTGTTGGAACCTACACCGAAGTGCTTGATAACGTTGTTATAACCTACACCGAAGTGCTTGATAACGTTGTTAGAACCAACACCGAAGTGCTTGATAACGTTGTTGGAACCTACACCGAAGTGCTTGATAACGTTGTTGGAACCTACACCGAAGTGCTTGATAACGTTGTTGGAACCTACACCGAAGTGTTTGATAACGGTGTTAGAACCTACACCGAAGTGCTTAATAACGTTGTTAGAACCTACACCGAAATGCTTGATAACGGCGTTAGAACCTACACCGAAGTGCTTGATAACGTTGTTAGAACCAACACCGAAGTGCTTGATAACGCTGTTAGAACCTACACTCACGTGCTTGATAACGTTGTTAGAACCTACACCGAAGTGCTTGATACCGGTGTTAGAACCTACATCAAAGTGCTTGATAACGTTGTTAGGACATACACCGAAGTGCTTGATAACGTTGTTAGAACATACACCGGGGTGCTTGATAACGTTGTTAGAACCTACCCCCAGGTGCTTGATAACGTTGTTAGAACATACACCGGAGTGCTTGATAACGTTGTTAGAACCTACACCCAGGTGCTTGATAACGTTGTTAGAACCAACACCGAAGTGCTTGATAACGGTGTTAGAACCTACATCAAAGTGCTTGATAACGTTGTTAGGACATACACCGAAGTGCTTGATAACGTTGTTAGAACATACACCGGGGTGCTTGATAACGTTGTTAGAACCTACACCCAGGTGCTTGATAAAGTTGTTAGAACATACACCGGAGTGCTTGATAACGTTGTTAGAACCTACACCCAGGTGCTTGATAACGTTGTTAGAACCAACATCGAGGTGCTTGATAACAGTGTTAGAATCAACACCGAAACGTCGCTCCTAATTGTAATAAAGAAGTTGTTCATCCATTTATGATCCTTACTTAGTGTTCCAACTTCTAAATGCCTCTCCAAGAAGTTATACAAGCAGCATATCCCTACTGCGAAAAGACAGTACAGTGAATCCTACTGTAATTGCCGCCCCCAATGATTAATATGTGATTTGGATCTGATCCTGCCCTACACTGAAACTCATCATGTTATTCAATATGTGGTGCCTCCTAAGCCTGGTCAATTCGCCTCACTTCACCAAGAAGCGAATGGGTAGGATGAGATTGAAATATTATTATACAGTGGACTTTATTTATAACGAACACGCTTATAACGATCTGACGGATATAACGAACTGGTTTTTTTCATCCGAGCCATTTGCTGTATATATGCATATAACGAACTAGGGTTATAACGAACTATAATTAGTGGTCCCCTTGAGTTTGTTATAACCGTTGTTAACTGTATAACATAATATGCCTGGACGTGCTTGTAAACACAATATCTATTACTGAGTGTCGAAAATGGAATTATTTCGGTTTAATATTAAAAGTGATGTTTGTAGATATTTTATTTCTCCTCACCTGTCAACATTGATCGTGAAAACATCTTCTTCTTTTGCAAATAGGTACCGCAGTCTCGATCCCTGAAGGACAAGAAAATAACAACGCATTATAGCAATGAGTGAGTGAGTGAGTGAGTGGACGAGTGAGTGAGTGAGTCAATTGACGAATGAGTGTGTGAGTGAGTGTGTGAGTGAGAGGACGAGTGTGTGAGTGAGTGAGTGAGTGAGTGACTGAGTGGACGAGTGAGTGAGTGGATGAGTGAGCGAGTGAGTGGACGAGTGAGCGAGTAAGTGAGTGGACGGGTAAGTGGACGAGTGAGCGAGTGAGTGAGTGGACGTGTGAGTGAGTGGACGAGTGAGTGAGTGGACGAGTGAGTGAGTGAGTGGACGAGTGGATGAGTGAGTGAGTGGACGAGTGAGTGAGTGAGTGAGTGAGTGGACGAGTGAGTGAGTGAGTGGACGAGTGAGTGAGTGAGTGAGTGAGTGAACGAGTGAATGAGTGAGTGAGTGGACGAGTGAGTGAGTGGACGAGTGAGTGGACGAGTGAGCGAGTTTTACTAATAAGCCCTAAACAGGCTTTAAAAAAATAAAAAGCGTCAATAGTCGCTGGATCTGGAGATTACGTACAAAGTCCGTGTCTGTGGCAGTGACGGTTACAATGGTGGAACCCAGCGGCAGGCTCTCGGGGACGCTTGCTGTGTAGGCCGGCTGTTGGAAGGTGGGAGGTTTGCTGTTGATGGCGGATACCACTATTTTCAGGAAGGTCGTGTCTGTCCTGAACAAGTTGTCAATTTGTGTTGCCTGAAAGAAACAAATAGGTTTCGTCTGTGTAACATATGCATCGTTTCTGCTGTTATTAAAACTTGCATCATAAGCACGGATTCGAGTGGATATTTCGCTATAGGTTATGTACTGTTTACACCACCAGGACCAAGCCGCCTACATCGCTGGGATTCAGGCACTCCAGCATCGTTGACAGAGTGAGTGAGTATGGTTTTACGCCGCTTGTAGCAATATTCAAGCAATATCACGGCGGGGGACACCAGAAATAGGCTTCACACATTGTACCCATGTCGGGAATCGAACCCGGGTCTTCGGCGTGACGAGCGAACGCTTTAACCACCAGGCTACCCGACCGCCCCTCGTTGACAGAAGTACATGGACCTCGGAGAGATTTTGCTGAAAAATATTTAGTAATCAACTCCGTGTGCGCGGTCGGTCATAGTTAGGCTCAGAACGCTTCAGCTACATCCAGTATATAAATACACATAGTGACAGTATATGGTCATCAAATGAGGTTTCCGTTTTGTATTTGTATTTATTTATTGATTTTTTGGTTGGTGGGGAAGAATTGCAAAAGTGCTTCAGTAGAGTGAGTGAGTGAGTAAGTTGGGTTTAACGCCGTCTTTAACAGTATTCCAGTTATATCACGGCGTGTCAGCTTAATGTGGGAGGAAAGCCCGAAGTGATGCAGGTCTCAGACGTTTACCACTTCGGTGAAACCCACGTGCACGGTAATGGCGCTGACAAACCTAGAAACCGGGATTCGAACCCACAATCATAGGTTTCTGGCGTGCCCAAGGGACGCAACTCTGCAGAGCGAATCGCGGCGCTCTAGACGACTGGGGCCCCAGTTCCCCCTGTTTGTATGGATCCAACGGTAATTTTAAGTTTTTTTCTTTTTAATCTTACAAACTCAGATTTACTGACAAACATGATATGTATAGTTTGATAAAGTCGTATCAAAATAATTCTAAATTAAGTTTTTACCGACTGAGACGTGGGTGTGTGAGTGAGTATGATGTTATGCCGTTTGGGCATTATTCCAGCACTATCACAGGGATGGTACACAAGAAATGAGCCTCAGCCTCCCACATTGTGACCATGTGAGAAGTCGAACCTGGACCTTCGGCGTGAAGAGCGAACACTTTAACCACTAGGCTACCCGAGCGCCCCTTTAACCGACTGAGGCTGTAGCCAGTGTGTACGGATGGTAATGACCCACCTCGATCATGATGGAGAACTCCTGGGCAGGGGGTGGGTTGTTGACGGACACTACAGCTGTGTCAGGGTCTATCTGGAAGTAGTCGTTGGTTGCTGAAATGTAAGGGATTATGTTAAAATACCCAGCCTAGATGTTGGGTTTGAATACGGTTTCTGCCAACATTAAGATAACACCTAGACATGCTAAAACATTGATGTGAATACATGTAAGTATATCTATAATGGATTATAACTTGTGTTTGAGCAGATATAATGTTCGAAAAACTATATTGCGACAGCTGTTTTGGTTATACGTATATCGGTTGCACAATAGTTGTTGAAGTGTACTTTCCTTAGTAGCAACAGCATTGGTAGTAATAGTAGTGGTAGTAGCAGCAGCAGAAGTAGTAGTAGTAGTTGTGTAGTAGAAGTAGTAGCGGTAGTGGTAGTAGTAGTAGTAGAAACAGCAGTAGTAGTAATAGTAGTAGTAGCAACAACAGTAATAGTAATGGTAGTAGTAGCAGTAGCAATAGTAGTAGTAGTAGTGGGAGCAGTAGAAGTAGTAGCAGTAGTCGTAGTAGAAGTAGTAGCAGCAGCAACAGCAGTAATAGTAATGGTAGTAGTAGAAGCGGCAGCAGCAGTAGTAGTAGTAGTAGTGGGAGTAGTAGTAGTAGTAGTGGGAGTAGTAGTAGTAGCAGTAGTAGTAGTAGTAGAAGTAGTAGTAGTGGGAGTAATAGTAGTAGAAGTGGGAGTAGTAGAAGTAGTAGTAGTAGTAGTAGTAGTAGTAGTAGTAGTAGTAGAAGTAGAAGCAGTAGTAGTAGTAGTAGTAGTATAATATCTCACCTTTCTTGATAGAATACCGCAGAGGGGCGTTGATTGTAACATCTTGGTCACGTGCTGAGATGGCCTTTGTAACATTCACTACTCTCCCCTTGAACAGAAGATTACAGGAGATACTACACGGCAGCTTAAACAGTGTGTGAGTGAGTGGTTTGAGTTTAAGTGGCTTATCGCAATATTCCAGCCATATGAAGGAGGTCGAGACAAGACATGAACTTCACATAAGGTGTCCCTGTGGGGAATGGAACCCAGGTCCTCGGCGTGGCGCCATTCCTTTAACCTCTAGACCACACCACCTCAAACAGGTGTGACAGCTCATGGACTCTTTGTAAACTAAACACATAGATGATCTTCTTAAGACGACATCTTGAGAAAGTCAAACGAAAATTGCTTTATAAAGACACCCTAGAGGATTACGAGTAAGACGACAGACCCCCAGCATCATATGGATGTCGTAAAGGCGACTACACGAATCGGAAGGTCAGGTTCGATGACTTCATTGAAAGCATGTCATCGTATCGCAGTTGCGTTGATCGATGCTCATGATGTTAATCACTGGGTTGTCTGGTCAAGACTCAATTATTTAGAAACTGCCGTCATATAGCTGGAGTATTGCTGTGTGCGGCGTTAAACAACAAGCTTAGTGAATTTCGCATCCACTCTATCTAGACATGAAGACAAAAGAAGAAGATGTTTTCACGAAGAAAAAATATATATTACGTATCTTCAGTGAATCCAAATTTGAGACCAGGAACCCATACTTCAAAATGTTAACGGTACTGACATACTGATTGACCTACACGTAATGTCATGCGTCAATACCTCCAGGGTAGTCAGATTCGTATATCCTCATGTCATAACGCATTAAAAACCTGCACTCGGGAAGTAAATGACAAATAAATAAATGCAAAAATAGTGTGCAGCACTTCCTTCCGGAAGCACCTTCACCCATATACCGTGTGCAAGTAATTACACACATGACCATGAAGGTATTTGACAGTAAATTTACACATATATCAGATTACGCTTTGTACCTTTGGTGAGAGTTCTGGTACGATTCCTGTATACGAAGGTTCGTCGAAAGCAGGAGGAAGATCATCCATGTCGACAACGTTGATGTGTAGCGTCGTTGTTGCCGTCATCTGGGTTGCTCCACCAGTGGGCTGGTCCTGTCACAAAACACAAATTATAATTATAATTATGTATGCTTTTATCTTTAAACGAATAGCATACAAAGGGGCTATTATTATTTATTGCAATCGTCAAAATAGGGTCTTCGTGTGTTCTTAGACCCTCCTCATTCCATAACACTGATAAGGACAAAATCTCACAGAGGTGGAACGAGTCGTGCCTTGGTTCAATTGAATGATGTTTAACTCACCATTGCCGTGACTTGTATCGTCATGTTGGGGTTTGTTTCATAATCCAGCGGGCTGATGAGCGTAAGAGAAGTGCTAAGTGGGTTTTTAATCTCGAAGTATGACTGCAAAGAAAACAAGAACAACGTATTGAGAAAGCCAACTTTAGAATCATACAACCAATAGCGGGCGTTTGAAAACCATGAAAACACATTGTACCTTTCGGAGTAATCGAACCATGGTCTTTGGTTATAACAGGCTCGCCGCGAATAGCTGCAAGATTGCTGATGCGGCGTTAAGCAAAACTTACTCACTCACTCATTATAATAGGCTAACGTTTTAACCACCATATTCGCCGGAGGAGATAATCTGGAAACTTTTATACAATGTCATGTTATAAAATGAGGGTTTCTTTATCTTTCTTTATCTTGCGTCATCACTGATTTTCAGAAATCCATTCACGTCAATTTGATAACGATTTTGCTTTTACGCCCAATGAAATCTGATAATATAATATTTGACGTTGACGTTTTACATTATAGAAACACAGTGAATGTTTGGCTGAAATATGAGGGCTTTCCAGTGTTGGAGTAGACACGTGTGTGTTATATACTGACCGAGTACATCTCAGGGATGCTGTAGTAGATACGCCCATTGGAATTTTTATCTGCATCCCTGTCTGTTGCAGCAACTGGCGTTGGAATCACGCTTCCATTTGGCGTTATCTGCACATCAGTTGTAATCATCTCACCACAGAACTAAATGTTAAGTCTTTGAAAGGCATTTAGAAGTGATACACATAAGGAAGATAATTTATGGATATCAACTTCTTTATTATGAGGAACACAACGTTGTGTTTGGAAGATAATTTATGGGTATCAACTTCTTTATCATGAGGAACACAACGTTGTGTTTGGAAGATAATTTATGGGTATCAACTTCTTTATCATGAGGAACACAACGTTGTGTTTGGAAGATAATGTATGGGTATCAACTTCTTTATCATGAGGAACACAACGTTGTGTTTGGAAGATAATTTATCAGTATCAACTTCTTTATCATGAGGAACACAACGTTGTGTTTGGAAGATAATTTATCAGTATCAACTTCTTTATTATGAGGAACACAACGTTGTGTTTGGAAGATAATTTATCAGTATCAACTTCTTTATCATGAGGAACACAACGTTGTGTTTGGAAGATAATTTATCAGTATCAACTTCTTTATCATGAGGAACACAACGTTGTGTTTGGAAGATAATGTATGGGTATCAACTTCTTTATCATGAGGAACACAACGTTGTGTTTGGAAGATCATTTATCGGTATCAACTTCTTTATCATGAGGAACACAACGTTGTGTTTGGAAGATAATTTATCAGTATCAACTTCTTTATCATGAGGAACACAACGTTGTGTTTGGAAGATAATTTATCAGTATCAACTTCTTTATTATGAGGAACACAACGTTGTGTTTCTTATAATAAAGAAGCTGACCTCCATAAATTCTCTTCCCTAACATGTTGTCATTGAACATGTATGAAGTGTTGAGAACCTGTGCCATGACCTATTCATTATACAACACCTTAAGATGATAAACACAAGCCATATTGCTTGCGAAACGCCCCCCAAAATATTGATATAAAAGACAAAGGGTTTGCATTCGGCCAAGAACACTGCTAAGTATTGGTCGAACGTTTCATATAAACATAGTTTGTCTTTAATAGGCTTTAATATTGCAAGACGCTTGACAAGCCGTGGAATCCTCCAGGTATTAGTGTTGGAGGCCTTAAAGAAACGTATAATGTAAACACATTTTTAGAATTTACTTGTAATTGCAATCCAGAAATAATATCTGCACAACCATGTCAAAACATAACTTGGCTCCATTTTTGCAAAAATATTTCTCAGTATATGACATTAACTACACTAGTTATAAATCGGTAACTTTCAAACAGAAATCTGTTTTGTCACAAGGATTCTCTGTGGGACTTAACACTGTTTACATTGTCTTGCCAATAACATACCTCGCTGACGTTTATGTAATAATTGTCCTCATCAAACACTGGTGGGTGGTCGTTGACATCTTTGATCAGCATATGCACCGTGATAGCAACCTGGAATAGGATACAGTACTTACAATGTGGTACGTTTACATTGTCATAGCATCTCGATGATTACTGAGTCAGTGGGTTTAACGCCGCTTTTAACAGTGTTCCTTTTATATCACAGGGTGTCAGTTTAATGTGGGAGGAAAGCCCGAAGTGATGCAGGTCTTTCACGTTTACCACTTTGGTGAAACACACGAGCACGGGTATGGTGCTGACAAACCTAGAAACATCACCGGGACGACCCGGGATTCGAAACCACGATCATCGGTTTCTGGCGTGCCCAAGGGACGCAACTCTTCACAGCGAATTGCGGCGCCTTAGACGACTTGGCCAAGTGTGCTCTCTCACGATTATTAACAGATTTATCCCATTATAAGTTATGCATAAACCATGACATGTTTCACTTCAGAAACACAGCTCTTCTGCCCTTAAAGAAGTTGAGCATCTTGTGAAAAGCCTAATGAGAAGCGATACCAGTGAAGATCCGGGTTACAATAGGTCTTCAGCAACCCATGCTTGTCATAAAAGGCGACTAACGGGGTCAGGTGGTCAGGTTCGCTGACTGGGTTGATGCATGTTATCGTATCGCAAATGCGTGGATCGATGCTCATGATATCAATTACTGGATTGTCTGGTCCAGACTCGATTATTTACATAGCCGTTATATATGTTGGTTATTGTTGAGTGCGGCGTTAAACAACAAACAGACAAACAAATAATGAGACACGATAACACGATTGTTAAATGTTGATTAAGCTGGTACATGATGGTTGATTAAGATAATACGCTTTACGCCCTATGGAATCGGCAGATAATCGAGTCAGGTTATTCTCTGGCCTTAACGTTTAGAATTTACACCTTTGTTCACAATTTATGGTGGAAACTCTGAAAACCCCACACCCTTTCTAAAGCAGTTGTAAACTATCTTAATCGGTTAAGTGAGTGAGTGAGTATGGTTTTAAGCCGCTTGTAGCAATATGCCAGCAATATCACGGCGGGGAACAGCAGAAATGGGCTTCACACATTGTACTCATGCTGGGAATCGAACCAGGGTCTTCGGCGTGACGAGTGAACGCTTTAACCACTAGGCGACCCGACCGCCCCTAATCGGTTAAGAACCATGAGTCAGTACTAACACATCAAAGAACAGGCAAACTCTGCAATTCACTAAAACGTTAAACGAGAAAACTTAAATAAAGGACGTTTCCGAGAAAATGGAGGTAGAAAAGGATCCTTTTACTTCACCCAACACGTGGGCACGGGTGGCCCAGTCGTCTAAGGCGACGCGATTCGCTCTGCAGAGTTACGTCCCTTGGGCACGCCAAAAACCTATGATTGTGGGTTCGAGTCCAGGTTCGCCCAGATTATGTTCTTAGGTTTGTCAGCACCATACCCGTGCTCGTGGGTTTCACCGAAGTGGAAAACGTCTGAGACCTGCATCACTTCGTGCTTTCCTCCAACATTAAGCTGACACGCCGCGATATAACTGGAATACTGTTAAAAGCGGCGTTAAAACCAACTCACTCACCCAACAGAGGGCACTGGTCAAAGTCCTGTTGGTGGTTCTTACCGTAGGTACCGGGGAGGTCGCCAGCTGACAACTCATGGAGAACTCCTCCCTTTCACTCCCTCTGTCAGCGTCCAACTTCTTGATCAGAATAATCTCCTGGCTTGTATCATTGTAATCAAAATACGTGTTAGAATCTGCTGTGACCCTTATTTCATCGTGGGTGCCGTTGTATTGCATTTTCTTTACCACAGAACCTGAAAAAAGTAGGAAGTTACAAATATAGTATATTGGAAAGCTTCAAGCAAATTCTGTGCAGGTCTATCAATCAAAAAGTATTTTGAAAGTTGTTTAACATTAAGTTATTTGTTAAAGTGCCAAATTTTGCAGGGCCATTATAGTTTGTTAAACACACGCTCGTCATATAGTCGGAATCGTACAATGGATTCTGCTTTAGGCACAGATTTCTTATGATTGTGGAAATGTTTTTTGTTGCCTTTATTTACTCGCCAAGGAGCTGAGAATGCAATTGGGGATGAACGCTATCGATCCATGGATAACATAGGTGAGACGAAATGGGGTTCAACGTCGCGTCCAAGATTATTGCACTTATAGAGCGACGTGCATGTACGTGTGTGTGGCTGGGTGTTCTAGTCCGGACTAATGCCGAATTTATAGTGCTAGCTCACTGAGATACCATGCCGCAGTTTAACATGAATACCCCACTCAGACACAGTATACTGACTCCGAGCCGACCAGTCCTTGTTTTAGCCCCTTAATGCCGAGCGCCAGACAGGGTAACAACAAGTACCATCTTTTAACGTCTTTTGGTACGACGCGGCCGGGGATCGAACTCCGGACCTTCCGCTCTCCGGGCGGACGCCCTACCATTAGACCACGGAGGCGGTTTTTGATATAACATGGACATGATAAGATATTATACGCTTCCCTACGCTTGTGTATTAAACAGCAGTATATCCCTTCGTACGCGGGCACATGGTATTGTTGTGAGTGAAAGTTTAATTATCATCATGGTACCTACCAACGGATGTACTCTCCTGGACATCGACAAATATCTCAGTTATTTTATCGGGCAAGGGTAAACACACATCTGTAAAAATAAACAAATGTTATTGATTAATAACACAATGTATAAGGCAAACATCTGGACTAAAAGAAGCGGTTCCTGAATATGGATGCAGTTTTAGCATGTTGTTTAGATAGTGTCGTGAACAATGGATCCATATTCCGGAACAAGGGCAAGGTGGCCTAGATAGTTTCATCATCACAATTCGCTATGCGGAGCTATGATTCTTATCAGCCTGTAGTGGGTTTGAATCCCGGTTCGCCTCGAATAAGTTTCTAGTTTTGTCAGCACCATACGTGGTCGTGGATTTCACCAAAAGTGGTAAACGTATGAGACCTGCCTCACTTCGGGATTTCCTCCAACATTAAGCTGACACGCCGTGATATAACTGAAATAATGTTAAAAGCGGCGTAAAAATCAACTTATTCACTCACCCGAATCACAGATTCGGGTTTATAATGACCCTTGTGGTCAGTCGTTACTAAACCCGTCCCGACCCGTGAAAATTCCGGGGTAGAATAGGTCTTCAGCAACCCATGCTTGCCGTAAAAGGTGACTATGCTTGTCGTAAAAGGTGACAAACGGCTCGCTGACTTGGTTGATGCATGTCATCAATCCCAATTGCGTGGATCGATGCTCATGATATTAATCACCGGATTGTCTGGTCCAGACAACAAACAAACTAAACCCGTCCCACCAGAGTGATAGGCCTCATTAAACTGACGTGAAGTAACTGAAATATTCATTCACATTTCTCAAAAGTCTGTCGTACATTAGCACTATTGAGTAGCTTCAATTTGGTTTATTCTATTCACCGTACCATATACATCCACAGCCGAGGTGACTGACAACGCCAACAGCATCCACAACATCATCCTGAGTGACACGTCCATCGCCATCCCCTGGAAGACAAGAATATACATTAAAGGTGGATTCGTATCCGACAATTAGACAGGAGCAGCCTGATTGACATTGGTCATCCAGGCAGGATTGCGATAATTAGTTTCCAGCTCTCATGAACTAATTACCATAAACTCACGTATCATAAACTTCCAGTCGATACCAGACTGGTGTTGATAATATTACCGTTCTAAAAGAAAGTCTCTTTTTGTCGTAATATTGTTTCAAATAATACATCAAACAATGCCACATATTTTAACTGAGGAAGAAGCCGGCAAAAAGCAGGCATGAGTACTGTCAACTTTTGATTTGTCTCTAAAACCTGAAGACTTTTGAAGACATGCCCAGTCCTCTTTTGTACTGGAAGCTCCCCAAGAATACGTACAAAGAGAGATGCATTGCTTGGTCCTACAAAAGTACCACCAGAACCCAGCCTCAAAGATTACCCATAATTGTTACTATTTTTAAGGTAGGACTTTCTTTATATTCACAGAAAGTACTAGAACCCTGTTCAGTTGTGTAAAAACAGTTGATTTATAAAAAAAACTTTGTACACCACTGTCCCACACGACAAACTTAAGGAAAAACGTCATTCCTTGTGATCCATGGTGTGTTTGTTTTTAAACGAGGTGACCATAGATATATTTATGTATCTATCTTCAGAGGTTGAGGGCAATTTGTAAAAACAAAACGCAAATGTCATTTGAAATTTGCTAAGAAAACAAATGATTGACTAATTTAAAATATTTATGTGAAATTTGGGGATACGACCTTTAGGCAAGACGTAGGCATCCCCATTTGCACCAATTGTGCTCCCCTTCTTGAGGATCTTTGTTTCTTTATGCATTCGAATCCTGGTTTCTGCTCGGATGGGCAAAATAAAAAACAAAGCAATCGGATACCGTTCAATAACGGTCAAATAGCCAGTTCCCTTCCACAGATTTACCCACCCGAGCTAGAAATAAATCAGAGAAATGAGACCGCCTCGTCTGTTTCATATTTAGGTCTTTACATAACGATTCAGAAAGACAAAATCCCTCTCTACTAGATGTATGACAAGATGGATAACTTCAACTTTCCAATAGTCAACTACCCCTATATATTGAGCAATATTCCAGCAGTTCCAGCCTTTGGTGTCTACATTTCACAACTTTAACGTACAATGCCTAAGTGAGTGAGTGAGTGAGTGAAGGAGTTTGGTTTTACGCCGCTTTTAGCAATATTCCAGCAAAATCACGGCGGGGGATACCACAAATGGGCTTCACACATTGTACCAATGTCGGGAATCGAACCCTGGTCTTCGGCGTGACGAGCAAACGCTTTAACCACTAGGCTACCCGACCGTCCCAAGGCCTAAGTAAAACTTTCAAAAAGTGTTATAGTCGACATGTAGAGGATATTTCCAAATCTGACGCATCAGTGACAAAAGTGATGTCTGATACAATTCCCTATTTCGTCGTGTACCACATGTTCCCGTGTTTGTTCAGGTGAAAACTTGACATGCCTTTGCATGTGTTTTTGACGTGTGCCACCGGTGGGACACAAAACGCCCCCTTTTCGCGAACACCTGGTATCATCTTAATTTGATAGTGATTCATAAACACATGCTTAGGATATAGTCGGAATCGTACAACGGACACTAATATATGGACTCTAGATATATCATGATTATTGTAAGGGGCGGTCGGATAGCCTAGTGGTTAAAGTGTTCGCGCGTCACGCCGAAGACCCGGGTTCGATTCCCGACATGGGTACAATGCGTTAAGCCCATTTCTGGTGTCCCCCGCCGTGATATTGGTGGAATATTGCTTAAAGCGGCGTAAAATCATACTCACTTACTATGATTATTGTCATGGTTTTCGTCGCTGTAATTTCCAACATCCTGGTGTGTTGGATGCCCATTCACATCCTCGTTATTCAAACAGTTTACGCGTGAAACATATTAATTATAATTAATGAAAGTCATAAAAGGAGATGTCAAAGAAAACGTAACGTTCTCGCTGTGATCGCAACTCCTTCGAAGACAAGTGTATTATTCAAGTTTTTACAACTACAAAACATTTCCGACAAACAAAGTCGATCCATGCATACATTCATGTTGTAAACATCGACAACAACTGGAATTTTTCACGAAAATATTCCTTGTACATACAGAACGCACCTGTCAAAATGAAAACGTTTGTGTACTCGGGGCATAATTTGTATCAGTTTTTAAATAAAACATAACTACCCCACCTAGATTGGACACGTGCACAAGACAGCGAGTTTCCAAGTTAACACTCCTTCTGAAAGCTACCCTTGTGGCTAGTTCAGTACAAGTACATAGCCACTTTCAATAAAAGCGTTAAGTTCATCAGCAATATATCTCACCGAATTAATTTACAATTGTTCTCAATAACATACAGTTTCCTTCGTGTGATAAACACACAGAAAAGCCTTTTATGACAAGATATTCAAAATGATGTCATTGTATACTACCGTCTATAAATATTCCGTGAATTGATACAGCCTTTAGAGGCACTGTCACAACAAGCGTTGTAAAATTCGGAATATTTACACTTAACAAACATCCAAATGAGAATGACTGAGAGGTAAAATGGGTTGGGTGTTTCTTGGCGCAGACACTTCCACCCTGAAGTAGGATACTAGTTCACTATTAAGCCGTGTCGACACATTTTCCAAAGACATCCTTATGTCCGATGTGTATTTGACTAGTGGTCCTATTTGTCCCGTTGATGGCCCATCGTCTACTGGGCGGGCGTCCAACAAACAGTTTACCAAAGGGCTAAACCGCGCAACCGTCTGCTTGAGGAGAATTCAGGAGCTTCTGAACAGCTTTGAGAAGATTTAAGTTCGCTCGTCTGTTTCCTTGTTGATTATTAAAGATGTTTTTTCGCTTATTCGTTGTGTCAACTGTCTTTTCGCATGGTTTAATGTTCAGTATGATGACCATGTAAAGTTTAACTGAAAAAAGGAGAAATTTATCCCTTCCAATTAAATTTTTCTCAGATGGTTGTATCGCTGCATATTTCTGAATATAGGACCGCTTCCGTGGCCTAGTGGATGGCGCGTCTATCCGGAGAGCGGAAGGTTGGTAGTTCGATTCCCGGCCGCGTAATACCAAAAGACGTTAAAAGACGGTACTTGTTCTTACCCTGCCTACGCTCGAGATTAAGGGGATAAATGTGTACACACACACACACACACACACACACACACACACACACACACACACACACACACACACACACACACACACACACACACACACACTTATCACTTAGATATCAAATATGACACAGATCTCGTCATGTGTATGCAAACGTAAGTACAACAAGTATTTCTGTGAAAACAATGAACGTCCCATTGACTTCAGGTATCCGTTTCATGTTGCAGCAATTCATTGGCAATTCCAAACTCCACCCCACCAACGTATGTGTCAGCAGAACATTTTTCCACACAGACCCTTGATAATGCTGAGAATTCAACAATTATTTTCAAATCTCATTCCCAAAATGCGTAATATTCATTATTAAGAAAATATTATCAGCACATATAAACAGATCGTTTGTAAGGTTTCATATAAACCTTCTATTGGATATCTAACACACGGAAACATTGTTATCATATTAATTAAAGAGGTTGAAAGTTTTACTTATTTTTGGATAAATTCCAAAATGTCTTAAATTCATTGATTTTGTTGGTTTGTTTGTTGTTTAACGCCACACTGAGCAATATTCCAGCTATATAACGGCGGTCTGTAAATAATCAAGTCTGGACCAGACAATCCAGGGATTGATATCATGAGCATCGATCCACGCAATTGGGATCGATGACATGCATCAACCAAGTCAGCGAGCCTGATCAACCGATCCCGTTAGTCGCCTTTTACGACAAGCATAGTCGCCTTTTACGTCAAGCATGGGCTACTGAAGACCTGTTCTACCCCGGATCTTCACGGGCCTTATGAAACGATGAGATTATCTTTTCAGCGACATGTAGCATATGCCAATAAGTACAGATAAATGACGAGGAACATCTTATATTTTCTGTCATTAGACACGTGAACCTATTCTACCCCGGATCTTCACGGGTCCTAAATTCATTGAGAATTGATTGCAACCACTTTAGCACCTTATGGTTTGACGTATCATGTAAGTTCTAACATTAAGACCCGAATAATACACACATATCTAAATGTATATCTAAATAATAAATGCCCATGGGTGGTCATTACTTCTTAAATACTTGTACTTACACCCATAAAGGCCACAGAAAAACGCCATTATTAAGAACATCAGTTGATCATAAGATACTATATAAGTGAAGCACACAGACACCGAGGACACTTTAACTTGAGGCATTGAATTTGAGACCACTCTAAATACTCAATCAACGATATCAAGAAGACTTTTGAAATACCCATGTGGGCGTCAAAACAATTTCTGTTACACGTCCTTCACACATCTCATGTCAAATTCCACTCTCCACTTGACCAACACTTAGACTGACCACACACAATGGGGAGGACGGTCCGAGATGGTACATTAGAGCCTGGTGTGAATAACGCCGTGACATCTATAATATTCTGGTCGAACCATAAAGGTAACGTGACACCTTGAAGCGTGACGAAGTGGAATGTGTCGCCAGATAGAATACGTTATCTGGATATGTTAAGCTGGCAACAGTTGACAGCCGAGTGTGTCGTGTGACGGACTGGAACATGTGTCTTTACTCCTAGTATCAGATGAACGCGCGAAACAGGGTTCCAACTTGACATGATGAGTTTACCTCGCCATACCTGAATAATTTTAAATAACGTCAACTGCAGATCTACAATTAATTCAGGATGTTGCCCTGAAACGTTGCGTATGTATAATAATTTTTTTATTCATGATGCTCCTTGTCAGCACGATGGCATAGTGCATACACAGGTTCGTGTCTATTTCTGTGTTCTACTAAATATTCAGATAAATATCAATGCTTTTGTTGATTGTAATTA